TGTGTACAGATGGTTGGGACTGAACTATTTGAAGTTTTACTGTACTACTTTTTTTTTTTTGTATATTATTATGACTAATATCTTTTTGTTAACATTTGAACTATTAATCACAAAACACGTTGAAACAGACAATGCCCATTTTAACAATGCAATGCTAAAAAAACTGAATTAAAAAAAAAAGTTTATATATATATATATATATATATATATATATACATGTATATATATATATATGTATATATATATATATATATGTATATATATATATATATATATATATATATATATGTATATATATATATATATATATATATATATATATATATAATTCTTAAATATTAAAATAGTTATAATAAATAAATAAATAAATAAATAAATAAATAGTAGTAATAATAAATAAACAGAAAGAAAATATGTCAATATAAAATTTTTTTAAAACAGTCCCTTTATTCATTAGGGGTCACCACAGCGGAATAAACCACCAACTTATCCAGCATATGTTTTACGCTGCAGATGCCCTTCCAGCTGCAACCCAGCACTGAGAAACACCCATTCACTATCAGATGCACACTCATACACTAAGGCCAATTTAGCTTATTCAATTCACCTATAATGCATGTGTTTGGACTGTGGGGGAAACCGGAGCACCCAGAGGAAACCCACACCAACACGGGGAAAACATGCAAACTCCACACAGAAATGCCAACTGACCCAGCCGGTACTCGAATCAGCAACTTTCTTGCTGTGAGGAGACAGTAGCTGCGTCCCAAATGGCACACTATACGCTATGCACTCATGCACTATGTACTTATGCACTTACACACTCAACAGGATAGTATATGTATGTAGTGTCGTCCCAAATGGCACACTAATGTTTTTTTACTAAGCGGAAATTCAAACCGTTTCCCTGATGACGTTTGACGGTTGCCAAATCAGTGAAATAAACGACCGAATTATTAAATAATACCTGCCGTAAGTATTGGCCGCATTCACTATCAGGAGGCGCTATAATCACTCTCATAGGAGAATTTTGCTTTCACCATCCAAAATAAATAAAGTTATCTAACATGTGCGTCCGATAGCTCCGCCCCTTCCGCTACGTAAGCAAACCTGCGGTCGTTGAGTGCGTGAAGTGTCCATCATCACACACTTCATTTTAGCGACTGAATGAATGCATCATCCGGGTACTTAAAGTGCTCTTAATATTATTAGAATTTTCAGTGTGAACACACTAACTACACTATTTATACTACAAAATGGCGTAGAATAGTGCATAAGTATGCGATTTGGGACGCAGCTAGTGCTTACCACCGAGCCACTGTGCCGCCCCTATAAAAATACTTTCCTCTAAGTACAGATTTGGCTCATTGCCTTTTTGGTTTTGAAATTTGTTTTATTTATGTGTATGCATGTGAGCATATTTATATGGGTATGTGTATGTATGTGTGCATGTATGCATATCTGGGTGTATGTGTGTTTGTTTGTTTGTATGTGTACGTGCATATATGTATGTGTATGTATGTATGTGTGTGCATATATGTATATATGTATTAATTTATTTTATTTGTCATTTTTATTTGCAATAGTATGTCCTTGTCATTATACTTCCGTTTTTCCTTTTTACTGATAATATTGTTGTCAAGGCTGATGCTATTATTGATGCTATTATTTAACAACTGTATATTGGTTTATTTATGTATATCTACACATTCTGTTTCATGCTGATTGTCTACGGCATGTTTTTCTGTGTTCAAAAAATACAAAATAAAAGAAAAATTTGATGGAAAAAAAAATACTTTCCTCTGTAAAATAAGCTCGTATGTAATGCTAAGTTAATTTTCAGACATCAAAACATGATGTCATTTCTTTAACATTCTTGAACAGGATTAAAGTGGTGGAAAGAAATGATGATTAAATCAGATAGAGGAAAGCGGCGGTCCCGTGTAAGGTGGACGACTTCATGAGGCCGGACAGTTTTAATAAAAAAGCAGGATGCCGCCACACCGTGAACGGATCATCCAGGCAGATCGGCAGACTGATTATTTGCCCTGTTTAAGGGGAATATCGCCAGACGTCATGGGCTGGGTTTTTAATGAATGTTGAGATATTGAGTTGGCCGAGACGTGATCCCAGTGGATTGGAAATATTATCTCTCTGCTGCTCTGGGAAAACACTCAGCGCTGGGGGATATTAGATCTCAAATCCAAACACCTGTGTTTTATCACGCTTGTTAACAGCTGAGAGGCCAGCACTGCATCATAAAAACATGACTTTTGCTGCTTGTTCAAACTACTTGTTGGTCACACTTTATTTTGATGGTCGGTTTGTTGAATTCAAGTTGCATTTGCATCTATATGCCAGATTATTCTCATTAGATTATCAGAAGACTGTTAGTGTTGGGATTAGTGTAAAGCCTGGTTTACACTTCTGCGTCAAGTGACCGGCGTAACCGCGCATGCAACGCGCGTAGTTGTGCATTTATACTTCTGCGCGCTGTCTCTGTTGGTCTGCATTAACACTTCCGAAACACTAGTTGGCAGTGAGGTGTAAATGTTCCTCTGTGTCGAGTTTCTTCGCTGCTGTTTTGCTTTCCTGAACACTTCCTGAATGTACAAGTGGCTCAAACTCGCTCATTTTGAGGCAGGAACCGGCGGACGTGCAACAACTTTAACTATGAGGTCAACACAAAACAAAACTTTCCATCCGGAGCTCCTTCACGGGACTCCACACTTGTAAACAATCGCTCCATTGGGTTCGCGCCATTCGCGCGGCTCTCGGTCCCGCCCAGACTTGTCAGCGACACCAAGCCGACCAATCACAGAGCTTGCGCTATGCGTTGTTGCAACGTGTAGTTACATTTTTTGAGAGATGCACGTCAGTGACGCGGATGGCCACGACGAAGGGCTATACATCAACGACGTAGCATATGCCGGCGTTTGACGCAGAAGTATAAATCAGCCTTAAGTTGACATGTACTTGCTAAGTTTCTTATAGTCAGTTTAATGTATGCTGAAGTAACAATATCAGCAAATTAGAGATGCGCGGATCAGCTGAAATGACACCCGGATACGCGGCTTCATAATAATCATCCAAACTCCACCGGCCCGCACATATAGTTTTATCTAATATATGTATCCGCACCCAATCGTCACTTTAATAGTTTAAAGGGCCACTATGGTGAAAAATCTACTTTTCAAGCTGTTTGGACAGACATGTGTGTAGGTATATATTGTATAGACGTCATATTGGGGGGATAGAAACACACACAGTCCTTTTTTTTTTTCAATTAAAAAAAATTTAAACGGTGGACCAATTGGATCGGTTTTCAGAGCGACCGCAACTTGATGTAGGAGTGTCTATATTGATTGATAGGCGCGTCCCCATATCCTTAGTTTGTCGATTTACATCCGCCATTTTCAGCGTGTGAGTCAAAGCGACATCACTAAAGGAACAGCCTTGCTCTATTTTTAGATGTAAGGCTCATTGGGCTCAACACAAGATCAGTTTTCTCCACACGATCGCTCTAATCGGAATTATTGTTTGTACCTTTTGTTAGGTTTGCAAACATGTGTACTTTTCATTGCGTCTACCTTAAACTTCAGCTGTTTGCATTTCTCACGAACAAAGAAGCTCCCTGTGAATAGGTGCTGTTTCTGGGTTTCTGTTGGGGTGCACGCAGCGGCGGGTCCGCGGCTGGGCCTGGGGCGCCATTGTGTTTGCCCTGGTGGAGGCCGGAGTTCTGGAATGCATTGCGTGGCATGACAATTCGTGACACTTCATGTTTCTGCCGCGCCACTGAGAGTGTCTGGTGTGCAAATTTTCCAGATCTGAGGTGAACTATCTGCTGCTGCTTTCAGTATATGGCAATAAATGCAGTCTAAAATGGCATTCAGACTCACATTATTAGCATTTAATACTGAACAAAGCACGTGAGGTGTACCTGTGGTAAACATCGAGTACGTTTACATGGACACAATTATTTAACAACACTCTGATTAAGAGTCGACCATGTAAACAATTAGTTTTTTTATTCATATTTTTATTAATTTAATCCGATTAAGATCATAGTCAAACTAAACTGAACTCAGATTAAGAGCTGTGGATTTTTCGCCGCATTTAGCGACAGGATAGTCGATACACACACGGCTGTTTGACGCTATTTTTTGCACCTACCGAGACAGTGAAGGACCACAGACGAATACACTGCGAAATGCAGAGGGTTTTTTCGTGATACGGCATAGGCAAATCATTAGATTACTGATGTCCATGTAAACGTAGCCGTTGTCAGTTTATCCTGTTGTTCAGCTGCAAGAAATAGAAACTGTTTCTTTTAGTAATTCGAGGTGTTGATTAGGACAAAACTCTTTTTAATATGATAAATATTCCTTCTATCACGTGTCGTTGCTTTTATTTAGAACACGGTTTAACTCAGCTTTAAATCAGCCTTTAGGCTCGACAGTCAGGCTCGCTCCTATTTATGTCGTCAATCTGGCAAACTGTGCTTGCATTTGTTTTGATCCAGTAATGCTATACCTAGTTCAACCACCAGGTGTCAAACTTACATACAGCACCTTTAAACGTTTTTATTTTTTTCGGGGACAACTTAATTGTTTTATGTTCAATTCACTTAAGTTTGTAAAAATGATTAAGTTAACCTAATTAATTTGTGTTGAGAAAATATGAAATAACTATGGGGATCCCAGTATGTATTGTCAGTGCTAAATACTGTGCAGCATTTTGTTTGGAAACGCTTAAGTATACAATTTTACATACAATGGTAAATAGCTGGGTTCCACACAATGGATTTTTGTTTTGAGGCTCAAACCAGCAACCTTCTTGTTGTGAGGCGACAGCGCAAACCACTGCGCCACCACACCGTCCTTTCCTTTAAATAAATAGTTGAAGTTTTCATTTTTAAATAGTCCATTTGTATTCCACTGAGCATTTTACTTTTATTTATGGGTCAATGTTTAGGTTTGTTCTGAACTGTGTGTTTGCAGGAGGCTGGACCCCTCCGAGCGCCCTCTTCAGATGGTCTACGACTACCTGACGGCAATGGGCTATGAAGACCCGCTGCGTGTCCAGCAGGAGGCCGCCAACTCAGACCTCAGCTGCATGATCCGCTTCTACAGTGGTGAGTTTGGGGCTGCGTTCAGTCCGAATGCTCTGCACTCCAAAAAAAACTTGTTTCTAGTCCAAATATCTCAAGGTCCCGTGAAGTGCTTTGAAGTGGGCAGTTTTCATTCAATGTTTGACGTAATCTCAACTGAAAAATGGAAAAAGTGTAGATCCTCCCCTTTAAAAAAATAACCAGTAGCGTTTAGTTTAATTCACAGCTCTGCCAGTTGCAGGAGTTCCACTGGCATTTTCCCGCAGGTGAATTCTGACCAATCGAAAAGCAGTTTAGGAAATGCGTTCAATAACATCTGGCCAATGAGTGATGTGGGTTTTGTCAGATGACTGCATTTTGGTTCTTTTCAACTGGTTCGGACCAAAGCCAGCAATGTGGTGTGAAAAGGACACAACGACGGCAGAAAAATGCTACAATGTATCATTTGTTGCCCTTGATCCAGACCAAATGAACAGAACCACAGATGTGAAAGCACCCTATGTTGAGATGACTATAAGTTATGTTCATTCTAGGGATGCAACCATTATAAATTTTAGTTGTACCATTACACGTTTCACGGTTATCCCGATTATTTGCATTTATTGATTTCAAAACCCCACTAGTTTAAAACTAAAATTATTTCAAATTCGGTGTTGTAGTTCTGGCCTAAATACATATTTGTTGCTGTTTTAAAAGTTAATTTGATTGACTATATAAGAGGTGAGGCAGTGGCGCAGTGGGTAGCAAGTTCGCCTCACAGCAAGAAGGTCGCTGGGTCGCTGGTTCGAACCTCGTCTCAGTTGGCGTTTCTGTGTGGAGTTTGCATGTTCTCCCTGCGTTCGCGTGGGTTTCCTCCGGGTGCTCTGATTTTCCCCCATAGCCCAAAGACATGCGGTACAGGTGAATTGGGTAGGCTAAATTGTCCGTAGTGTATGAGAGTGTGTGAATGTGTGTGGACGTTTCCCAGAGATGGGTTGCAGCTGGAAGGGCATCCGCTGTGTAAAAACTTGCTGGATAAGTTGGCGGTTCATTCCGCTGTGGCGACCCCGGATTAATAAAGGGACTAAGCCGACAAGAAAATGAATGAATGAATGAATGACTATATTAAAATCAGTGGATATTATTGATGCATTTATTGGGTAAAATTGCTACTTTTACTGTCATTCAATGTGTTTGGTCATTATCAATGCATTGTCAGCTTAATTTAGCGTGTGCAGCGTGGCAAAATAGTCCCAGAGCCAAAACTATCCCGGCACTGTTGCTTCAGTGATACTCACGCCTTGCGCTGACACGCTGCTTCTGCGTGCAGTATGAAGCTCTAAACTGTTAACATGGACGGCAAAAAAAAACATGCGCTGCTCACACTTGCAGTGTGAAACGGGTTGAGACTTTCAGCACTCCGATTAATCTCGGCTGGCAGATCAACACTCGCCACATGATCGCTCTCATCGGCGCCATTATTTGTAAGTGGGTCTGCAAACCCTTTGTACTTTCCATTGCTTCTTCCTCAGACTTCAGCCGTATGCAGTTCCTGCGGTCACAAAAGCCCCTGTCATCTCAACTAGGTGCGTCTGAAAAGCGTGAACACGTTGTGTTGCGTGCGCGTCCCTCCATTGGAAATAACAAACTTGAACGAGCTTGCCTTAATGAATAGCCTCAGTCATTGTCAGTCCAGTGTGCGGGGTTATTAGTCTCGGTGTACAAACTAGCTCACAGTTGGCACAACTTTGTTTAGTTGCTGCAGTTTTGTTCCGTGCAGAAACATGGTGTTAAGAAGCCTTTACGATTACTTAACCCTGACGGATTAAATCACGGTTAATAGTGAAACCTGTTAATCGTCGCATCCCTAGTTCATTCATTCATTCATTCATTCATTCATTCATTCATTTTCTTGTCGGCTTAGTCCCTTAATTAATCCGGGGTCGCCACAGCGGAATGAACCGCCAACTTATCCAGCAGGTTTTTACGCAGCGGATGCCCTTCCAGCCGCAGCCCATCTCTGGGAAACATCCACACACACATTCACACACACACTCATACACTATGGACAATTTAGGCAACCCAATTCACCTGTACCGCATGTCTTTGGACTGTGGGGGAAACCGGAGCACCCGGAGGAAACCCATGCGAAGGCAGGGAGAACATGCAAACTCCACACAGAAACGCCAATTGAGCTGAGGTTTGAAACAGCGACCTTCTTGCTGTGAGGCGACAGCACTACCTACTGCGCCACTTCCTCGCCATCCCTAGTTTATTCAACTAAAAAATTTAAGGCAGCAGCAAAATGCTTCTTGATTTGGACTAGAAACAAGACAAAGTCGGAAAGGCATTGTTTGCAGTGTGTTTACCAGGCCAAAAAAAATCCCAGAGCTCTTTGAACAGTTTGCTGGCTTTACAGATCAAACCCTTTGAGTCCACTAGAGCTGTTGTGTTGTGTTGCACAGTTTCTGCCTGCGGTTTTCAGCATGAATGCTACTGTAAGGGTACAAATCTGTGTTTTTGTAAGCAGAGTTTTTTCTTTTCCCCCCTCATTCTCCGCTTTTTGGACTGACAGCAGTGGAATGAATAATGGGCTTTTTTTCCCAGTGTGTGTCAACATCAGTGTTCGGGGGATTGTGTCTGATTCTAGCTTTTTCTCTTCAGTCACACAAAGGATGCCAATTACGCTTTTGTTCCAGTATCCATCATGTACAAACCTCTCCTGTTTTTTTTCTGATAATGTGATTGGTTGTTTGAGATTGCAGAGCCAGATTGAAAAAACAAATGCATCAGCAAAATGTGTTTTTCCTCCTCATAGTGTTTATGTACAGTGCTCAACATATATGAGTACAGATCTGAGCGCGATTGCTGGATTCACATATGCCCAACGAACTGCGCTAACTGGGCAAACAAGACCGGTTTCGAAACAAATGTCTAGGTGTGAAAGCACCGTAAGATTCAGGATGCAAAGACTGTCATACTTGGGTATAGTGGGAGAATTTAGGACAAAATAATGGATACTATACATGAGGGATTCCCAAACATTTTTATTCCGGGACCCACCTAGGCAAGTAATTCAATCTCAAGACCCATAGAATATTTTATTATGGAAAAATGGGTAAAAAAAATGTCTCCATTCAAAGCAGTCAAAAATAAATGGTGTGCAGCTTTTTGGATTTTGCGATTTGATATGCACAAAATGGGGCTCGAAGTGCTTTTTGTGGGATGCTGGCTGTAACTCTGATCATTTTTTTGTTGAAAAGATACTCTTCTTTTTTCAGAAGAGAATATGATCAACCTTTGATCAAGCCCCTGGATTATGATCAAGCCCCGTCACATCGTTGTAAACTTCACTGCTAGTGTATATTGTCCTAAGAAACTAAATCGCTTTTTGATCGACTACAAGCTGGAAAAAAGTCAGATAAATATGCCAATGCAATTAACGTTATCGCTGAATAGATCTTATATTTACACATTTGCTTGAGGAAGGGATGATGGGGGTAGTTACATTACTATTACTATTTTCCATAACATCTATGCCCTTCCATAACATTAGCTGACGTTAAAACTAACAGATAGCACTATAGCTATCTATTGATTAGCAATCTGTTGGGATGTAAAAAATATGGGACAACACATAGCTTCAAATGATAGAATACATAGCAAACATTAGAAAATATTGACAATAAAATAAAAGGCTTAGCCTATTAAAATCAATGGCCTATGCAGAAATTAAATAAAGCGATAAAATCTGTTTCACTTTTAATTGTATTTGCATATTGATTAAAGTTACTTTAGTTATTTAGTGTAGAGCAGGAAATGAATCTCTCATTGTTTTGTTTGATAACAGAGGTGTTAATGTAAGAATGCACTGATCTATAATAAAGAATTCGAATTCTGTTTGTGCTCATTTAAGAGAAACTTAGTTGTGTTTAAAATAAAACACGCAGGACGAACCAAAAAAAAAAAAAAAGCACTTTTCCCGACGGTCCCTTACTGAGAGCACCGCTCTGCGCGAGATCTACCGGCTAAACGCAGATTACGAGAGCTCAAACGCAGCAGTGCTTGTAATGTCGAGCGTCAAAAAAGAAAAAGACAACTGTGAAACATAACCAGCTTTGTCTTTTTGTAGGAAACACACTTTAGATCTTTTTAGGGTAAGAGGCTTTTAAGTTATTGCCGTCAATCGTACTGGTTTTGATTCACCGCACTGTAAATATAGCTGCAGCTATGTGACGTTCCGCGACCCACCTTTGTTCACTGTGCGACCCACAGTTTAAAAACCCCTGCTCTACACAAACACATAGACACATACTTGTATACATGGTTTACAAGGGCACTCCGTAGGCATAACATATTTTATACTGTATAAACTGGCCCTATCCCTAAACCCAACCCTTACAGGAAACCTGTGGCAGCATTTGAATGTCAAAAGACCCCGTTCAGTTTGACGTTTAAGTATTTTGCATTACAGGGACATGAGATGTGACCCTGTAAACTATCATAATAGAGTACAACTTAGTCATAACCATGTTATTATACACATTTGTGTCCCTGTAAACCACATATACCTGTACAAACACACACATTATGTTAATGTTATATTTTTGTATCGCATGCAACCGGTGATGATTGATCATGTTTGACAGCTGTAATAATACCATAATAGAAAGCTTTCAACCTCATCTATTGATAACTGCATGTGGATGCGTCCTCCGCACTGTCCTTCACGAGTGTGTGTGAGATGCAGACTCTCTCCCCTGGTCCCCTTGGTCCGGGCAGTGAGTAAATGCCCATCTGTCAGTTCCGCAGGGGTACGGAGACGTTACATTGCTCATCCTTAGGTCCCGTCCCGTCCGCCTGATATATGGCTGAACGGATGGCCTGTGTCCTCCTCATTTGTACACCGTGACTCGGGGGACAAGCAAAACTTAGTGGAATAGAGCGCTGTGTGTTTGCCGTCCCAAAACCTCCAAACACACCCATCCCGGCATCTGCACGGTGAGGAAGACAATCGATGTCGTATAGTTCGGTAATGGTACTTT